ACAATGCTGTGCAGGTTTCATACAATTACATTCCTCATAGACAATGCTGTGCAGTTTTCATACTACAATTACATTTCCCATAGACAATGCTGTGCAGGTTTCATACTACAATTACATTTCCCATAGACAATGCTGGGCAGGTTTCATACTACAATTACATTTCCCTAGCTTGGCAACTGATCTCATGATTATTCGTGAGGTGATAATGATGATGACATGAAAAAAATTACCCCCCCCCTTCCATGAATTTTGGGTCATTACATACCGGAGGTAGGCTTAGTAAATAACGACAAGTCTCGCCTATGTAGAATATTACAGTAACACCATGGCGACGACAGTCCTCCCAAAATCTACGCACTGACAATTTTCTTGCTAAGACGATGGTCGACTCTGTTAATATGATTCAATGTAATGCAGTGAATTAATTTGGGAGTATCGGGCATGAAATGAAATCTGAAAGATCCACAGGTCGAACCAACTCATTGGCCGGGATCAAGTACTTGCCACGCCCAGACGGATAATAATTACACTTAACATATAGCTGGTAAAAGATTGTCACACATAAGCGGGGAACATGTGTGGCGAATATTTGATATCTAACAATGTCTTAATATGTGGGTAGCTGTTTTATTTTCCGACAGACTGATTTTGCCGATGTATGCATTCAACAAACTTTGACATGATGTCAATACGAAATCAAATGTGTTGTTTCAACTTACGAGTCCTCAGCACTGTCGAGAAACTCAACATGGATGCTGACGAGTGGTAGAGAGGTAGAGAGATGTATGTACGATCGTTTGCAGTGATGCCGACTGGACTGAGCATAAATGCCGCCATAAGTTGTCGGTAGTATGTTATTTTTGATGCCTTCGGATGACCTTAGAAATAAAAAAAAAAAAAAAAAAAGAACATGAATACTTTCTATATGAATAGAATTCAAACAAAACATACGACATATCCTGGCATGTAGACTTATAAATAATTTTTAGAAATGCTCTCTTGCTTTGAAAAAAAAACAAGTTAAATGTATTTTTGATGAGAAATTCAGCTTGTTCCAATTTTCGTATTAAGAAATTATTAATTATTTTAAATTAATTTGATCGATTGGTGCGCGACTACAGCCGCCCTTTAATTTGAGCAGCACATACAACAGTATGATAACAAGCTAATACGCATGTCCACTGATTGTTATTCAACTCCCCTAAACCTTCCCAACGTGTTAGCACTCCAGCGACGAAGCGTGAAAGGAAAAAAATATTCGTTACGTCATTTAGAATAGATATCTTGAAAACAGATCAACACAATACCCACTCAGCGATTGGTAGCTCTTCGACGCTAGAAGGCGTGACGTATAGGAGCAATGTGTGTAGCGACCTATCGTGGATATTAAGGGGCGGCAGTCGTCGTGCCGCGTCCTGTTCGATATGGGACTCATAGCGACGTATACAACACGTGTAAAATACATTGTTTATTTACATGACATTCGAACACGCGCTGCGCGACGACCACCGCGCTTTAAATACGGAATTAATCAATAAAATATTTTCTTTATGTCAAACATCTTTACCTGTGGTACCGGAAGTAAAAATGTAAACTGAAATATCACTCTCTGTAAGCGAGCGTCTAGTATCACGTGGTATTGGTTGTTCCGACATACTGGATAAGTGGTTGTCTATATGAGTATATGGGCCATCATAACTACCACCAGTTATCCATACATCAACACCTCTGTCCTGCAATTGGCTGAAAATACCTTCCACGGCTGGAATTAATTCTGGATCTGACAAAATACAACATTAAATGCGTGTAAATCGAACAATGATTGAATCAATCAATCAATCAGACATCAAATTGATAAATTAATAAACAAGCAATCAATCAATAAAACAAACAATTCAATAAATACACCACAACACCAATTCGATGCTAAATAAAAAAATTAAACAACAACAACAACAACAACAACAACAACAACACAAATAAATAAATAAATAAATAAATAAATAACACTATATATGTAAAGCATTGGACGATTACACATACGTTGCCCATGTCCGGAAAATTGAGTTCATCAAACTTACTGCGATGAGTAAAGTACGGAGAGAAATTGATGGACCCTGACTTTTGAACGTCAATTAGGAAACGACATGTTAGTCGCCAACAAACTCACCGTGACCTACTATAACAACTTTAGCTTCAGACACATCGATGCAGTGGACCAGCGGGTCTAATCTTAAATTATAGTTGAGGAAAGCAACACGTATACCAAGCTTTGCAAATCCAAGATAGCTCCATATAAACGAGGGTTCGTTATACATTAGCACGGCGGCGCAGTCACCGAGTTTCAGTCCTTTCTTACGAACAAAGTTGGCGAATTTGTTGGCCATTCTGTTGATATCGCCATAGGTGTATATCGTGTTTTCGTAGATTATGAAGGTCTTGTAGGGATTATGAGCCGCAGCCTCCTCGAACATGTCGACAATGTAGCGTTTGCTGTCTAAGTACACCCTGGCTGCTTTTAGAAATGAGGATGTTTGACGAAAAGCATGGTAATCTCTGCTGAGATATGGATATGCGATTCTCAACAACCCAGCGGCCACTGCAGTACCAGCTGCGACTTTATAGCGAGTAGGTGCCGACATTTTGAGTAAATCAGAGCACTGCTAGTCTGTCCCCAACCACTAGTATTACCCAAATACGTACTGACCACGTGTCAATGATAACGTTTGTGATTGGTCATGATTGGAGGTCGATGAACAATCACTCCTGTGATAAGTTAAACATTGAACTTGTTTACTTGATTATAATGCTGTCATGAATTTGTTTTTGCGTATCTGTTAATCGACTTAATTAGTTGATTATTAGCGAATTGCTGTGTTATGTCTGTCATCGTTCAGGCCTATTTGAAGTTTTGGACGGAACTTGGCTCAGTGATTTGGAACTAATTACGAGATAACCGTCGCTATTTTGACAGTTGGTTTCCATAGTTATTAATGTAGTGAACGATTAATCAAATGATATGACGTATTCAGTACTTAGTGTGATTGGCTTTATGATTGAAGGTTACGCCCTAGAGTCTTTTTACTGCTTTGTAATTGGTTAGAGTTGTGAAAATGAATAAAGAGAGTTTGAGTTGGTCTTGGGGAGCACAGCACGATAGACGCAGTGGAGAGTCTAGAACAGTCAGAGTCGAGAGTCCAGTCCAGGGGCGAGCCTTGAAGCAGTCATGGAGAGCCTTGGGGCGAGTCTAAGCACAGTCTTGGGCTAGTCTTGGGTCAGCCTTGGATAGTCTTGGGGACTTTTCCCCAGGGCGCTGTGTCTTATAGAGTGCTCGATTGACCGACTAAGACGAGAGCTGAAACGTATTTCGTTGTGTGTGTCTTATTTGACTGTAAAGTATAAGTGACATTCCCGATCCCGTACCTCAAGGGGACGAGATAGAGAGACGAGACGAGTTTCCCCCTGACAAGTGTAGAGAACCCGAGAGTACAAGAATTTACCCCTGATAATGCACTACTCACTCAGAGGTTCTCGCTTTTGTTTTATGAGGTGTCATCGGGTTTTACGCGTGTATTATTCTCGGCTTGTTCTTTCTGTTTTTTGGGTTGGTTGGTGGTTCGGTTTGGGGTATGTTGCTTGGCTTTGAGAGTACCTTCTGGGAATCGCATAGGTGATATTTGAACTGCTCAACAATTATTTACGCAAGTCACTGTATGTTGTTTTCATCAATTTATAATATAATCACAAGGAGCCCAGGAACTATGATCAACTGTACGCACTCCCTATGAGCGGGGGGGGGGGTTATCGGCTGGTATCTAGTGTAAGAAATAGACAAGGGATGAAGGCTCCAGCCAGCTCATATTTTTTTAAACTGGAAATAACAGACGAACAGAATGAAAAATAAAATCTATAAAAAATACCAGGTTGAAGATTATCAGTTGTTCTTTCAAATTTCGCCAAAGCCTTACCTATATTTTACCTATATCTACAGAATAAATCAAGAAGTCTACACAAATTGACTCCATTTCATGTCTCCTCACGAATTATGGTTTGATGGTCTCGTTATATGTATGGTTCGGCCATCCAGACAATGTATAATCTAATACTTTTGACAATATTGTGTCTTTTCGCGTTTGTTCAGCGATTTGTTTGGCAGTGACAGGCAACTCATCTATTGTCACTTGATGTACACTCTTCTCATCTGGGTCTTCAGTAACTGTAGACAACGGTAATCTACTAAGTAAATCAGCATTAGCATTTTGTTCTTATGATCCATAGACTATTTTGTATTGATAACTTGACAAAGGCAAAGCCCACCTCTGCATTTGCGTTTCAGCAAGAGAGGGTATACCAGCTTTCGGTCCAAAAACACGTGTCAACGGCTGATGGTCGGTAATAAGTGTGAAATCTTTACCGTAAAGATACATTGTCAAGTGAAATTTCTTTACTCCAAACACAATTGCTAAACCTTCTTTGTCAATTTGTGCATAGTTTTTCTCTGCCGCTGCCAATGTTCGCGATGCATAAGCAATAGGTTTTTCTGTGTTATCATCCAGTTTATGACTCAGAACGGCACCTAACCCATACGGGCTGGCATCTACACTTAATATTAGCGGTTTTGAAGGATCGTAATGCACTAATACATTGTCACTAACCAGCATGTTTTTGGCATATGTGAATGCTTCTTCATATTTTACATTCCAATCCCATTCCATGGAGTGTT